GTGCAGATCCAAGCAGTGCGGCTTTTTGCATTTGACTGATGGTGATTTTGTCAATTTTTAACTGTTTTAAATGTAATTCCAGTGCTTTTGGAATGAAGGTGAGGCCGGAGTAGGCATTGCCAGCTCGTCATCCTGCAGCCCTTTGCCACAGGCCAGATCTAAGCATCCGGCAGGCCAGATTCAGCCCACAGGCCTTGAGTTTAACACCTCTTTTCTAAATGTTCTGCCAGCTAATTTCTAAATTATAAACTCCCTGTATTCTGGAAACTTACATTTCCCTTCCTCTGTACTATTTCTTTTTCTAGGGATTTGGAATGCTGCTCATGGAAGAGGCAGAGAGAATTGCCAAGGAAGAGCATGGCTCATGGAAGATAGCTGTCATTTCAGGTAATAAACTACTAGCAACTGTGTAAGTATGTACCCTCCTTTGTTAGCAGGTGAATGGGAGAGAAAGTGTTGGATAGCCGAGAATCGGAAAATTGCTAAAGAAAAAAAGCTTTCTAGATCAGAAGTCTTTGTCTGTGACAGAGGGAGCATTTTGCTATTGAAAAAAACCAGTCACGTATGTTTACAGAGAGTATCTATGGTTTGATGAGATTTCTAATTGTTTCTTCATATGTTCATCCAGGAAAATAGGACATGTTATGAAATATAGATCAGATAACTGGAATCAGCAGTTTCTTTAATTTACTTTCCATGCAATTGTCTACTTTGTGTGGAGATTTTGACCCCACCACAACATCCATTGGAATTTGAATGGTGAATAGTCTGCCCTTTAAAACTGCGGGATATATATATAGGGCAAGTTGTGAGATTGCTTTTTCCCTCTCTAGGATGGTCTCAACTGATATTTCAACAGTGATCAGGAAATAATGTATATTTCCAGCTACTGATAAACACCACTCCCAAATATTGCTCTTCAAACTATATAAATTGGGGATAAGCAGCTGTACCTGCTTTGTTTCTGGACAGCATAATCAGTAGGAATGGTTTATGGGAATTCATCTCTAGTAATGTCTTGTTTGGCTACATGTAACATACTCCTAATGTGCATACTTATTTTCTAAAGAGAGAGGTACTATAGTTCAAATCTATCTAGGGACCATATCCTATATCCATGATGGCAAACCTATGGCACACATGCCACAGGTGGCACGCGGAGCCCTCTCTGTGGCCACGCGGGCCATTGCCCAGCTCAGCTCCACTGTGCATGTGTGCGCGCCTCCCACTGGGCCAGCTGATTTTTGGGTCTCTGCCGTGCATGCAGGAGCCCAGAGGAGGCCGTTTTTGCCCTCCCAGAAGCTTGAGGAAAGCCTCAGAGCCTGGGAATGGCGAAAACTCCCCCCTGTGTGGCCTACTTGGCCTCCTGCACCACGGGGGGGGGGGGGGGTTTTTCCCAATTCCCAGTCTTGGAGGCTTCCCTCAAGCTTATGGGGGGGAAAAAAAGCGCCCCTCGGGGCCCGTGCATGACCGG